ATTCTTTCCCCCCCTAACATATCAACAATAATTGATGAAGATGTTTTGTTTGCTAAACATGAGACATCTTAGCTAAAGCCAACAGCCGGATCAAGAACCTGTAGATAAAACATTTAGCGCCTCCTTTGAAGCCACTTCTTGTGTTGGCAGGATAAGGAGGGCTGCGACACCCGATGAGCGCGGCGCAATAACGATTTCAGCAGGCGAGGGCCGTGCTGATGAAAGGCGTCCTTAACCTCACTCTGAGGACCGTCATCACCTGGCGGGGGGCCAAGCAGCAGAATCCGACAGGGTTTTCACCTGTGATGTGATCCCCCGTTATTATAACGCAGTCAGAAAAGTCTCTATGCGGTGTAGATTTGCAAGATTTCAGTTTTGCACAACTCCAGTGATTGTCAGATCTGGACATCTGCTTCCACTCAGCAGTAATGTATTCAAACAAAACAGGTTCTGTGCTTCACTGAAATTTGTTCTGCGATCTTATGGTCTTGTAAGTAAAATGCATTCTGTTATCGACCTGAGTGTCTCTGAAAAACAAAAAGAGATTCTCCAGGTCAGCTTCGTCCCAATAACAACCACTGTTCAGAATTTTGGAGCAGATTTCAGATTTTTGTGAAGCTTTAATACGACAAAATGACAAATGAACATTAAAATGGCCTTCCTGCCAAGAGCGGTCATGAATTATTAACATCGGGGGCTGAGGAGACGTCGGGTCCTGTGTGAGAGAGCAGTCACTTTAAAACGGGGTTTTATTAATATTTTAAGAAAAAGACTAAATGAGAGATTTAAACCTTTAGCATCTAATATAAGCAAGTAGCATTGTTAGCGTGATTAGCCCTCGTCTGCCGTCTGTGATGAGGGCCAACATTTACAAACATGTAAATGTTCAATTTACATGTTCATGACACGCTGGAAGCATACATCAACAGCAGAGAAATTAAGTTTGCTTCCTTTAGCCTTTTGTATGTGCATTGCAAGTCTTGCTCTCTCTCACCGTTATGCAGTCTGAATTAAAACACAGCAATGCAATAGAAACACTGTTTTGTATCACGCCGGGTTGTATACAACAATGCACTCGTTAGCATCAAAAGTTTGTAATTGGAACGTGTTGAATCCAAAGCTTTTCTGTTAAATCATAGACCTATAATTTGTCCAAGACACGGCATGCATAGAACAGATCATCACTCCAACGCCTCGACAAGAACCCTAAACATTTACATGGGATTTTAATTTCATGTCTTATTCAATGGAAACACAATTGCAAAATTGTGTTTTTTCAGACATTGGCAGAAAATCCACATTGATTCACGCACTTTTGTAACGGAAACGCAGCTACCGTCGGTGAATATAGACGTTTATTCATTGCTCTGCAACAACTTCCATCTCAAAGAGCGTCGTGGTCAACTCGTCTTGGTAGAACTTGGCACGACGTGTCGCTGCGCGATTGGAAAAACGTTGGGTTTTGGATCAAAACTGAACCTTGGTCTGCTTCTGGTCACCAGTCATCCCTGCCTGAGAAACTCCATTGTTTAACCCAACAATTTATTTTCTTGTCTCTCTTTATTTTTGTTGAATTAATACCTCTAGTAGAAAACTGAAAACTTAAAAAAAAAAAAAATGGATATAGTGAGAGTAAGTCATGGGTGGGTGAGCAGGACGAGGGGAGGAAGTGAAGTCAGTGTCTGATGTGGGCGGTGAAGCGTTGGAGCTCTGGACAAAGGACAGGGGAGCAAAAAATAAAAAAAATTAATTAAATAAATAAATATGCATCCTTCACCAAGAGATGAATTCTCCCTGATCAAAGGAGAAAAATGAAGTCAAATAAAATTAAAAATGAAGAAGAAAAAAAAAAGCAGCAACCTTAGAGCAGCTTCTGCTTTTCTCCACCTCCAAACTTAAAGAGCCTGCTCTGCCTGGACGAGTCCTGCACACATGAATCCAAAGACAAAACGATTCATTCCCCTCTGGTCCCAGTTAGCCACTTCCTGTGTCTTCAAGTCAAACAAAAGGCAGCTAATTACGCCTGCAACCAATGACAGCGTTCATCATCATTTGGTCTGCTAATTATTGGCTGATTATTTTCCAGTTTGTCAGCTAATTGTTTTGGCAAGGAACAATTAATGAAATCTGTTACTCAGGCTGGAGCTTGGAAGGACGGGTCATTTTATTTAAACTAAAAAAGAAACGTAGTAAAATAGAAATGCTCGAAAGCCAGCAGCAGTTCAAGACCAATTACAGAGCTCTCCAACATTTTGTCACGTTGCAACCACAAGCCTTATTGTGCTTTTTTTTTTTTTCAAATTGAGGTTTTATGCAACAGACCAACAAAGACAAAAAGCGGCGGCCATTATTGTTGGTGGAAGATATAAAAGGTATTAATGAATTGGATAAATACACACAGCACTTTTCAAATTCTCAGCTGCGACACAGAAGCTGAAAACAACGCGGTCCACCGCATAAAAAGATTTTCTATTGTTGCCGGGGTTTGAGAAACATGTCAAAGGGCCAAACGAGGAGTTGATTTTGACCAACAACCAGTTTAGAACAACAAAAAGAAATTCAGTTACATCACTTTTAGATATTCAAGTGAACTAACTTGTTTTTTTCCCCCACCAACAGCGTTATTTGTATTCGTGTGGCTCCTGATTGCTGTGACAAACGGTTAGAGTCATACAGGTACCTAGAAAAAGTAGTAAGAAATAGTTTTTATCGTAGCGCCACAAAACCTTGCGATAAACATTTTAAGCCCATATTGCCCAGCACATAGTAGGAATATTTCAAAACGTGACACAGAGCTGGACAGCTGCACACTGCAACACGAGGCCCAGATAGACAGACGGACAGCGGGCGGACCACCAAGAAGAGCGTGAACAATGCCCATGCCGATGCCACAGATATTTTCCGCTCTGGGTTAGAGAACATAATGAGGCTGCAGTGCGACGGTGGACGTGCTCAGCTTCCCAGGCCAACCCTCCCCGCTTCCTCCTCCTCCTCTTCAATCATCTGAGCCTCATTCAGACCTGGAGTTCATTATCAGGTGCAACGGAAACGATCACCGGCGATCAGAAAGAATTTACAGGACAACGTTTCAGTCCAAGTCCTGCCAACATAGCAAACGGCCAGGAAGGCAGCTCTGGTTTGACTGAAACAACGCGATTCCTTTATGGGAACGTAATGGGAGACGGGAAATCGTGTTGAAGCGTTTCAGTCTCTCAAGCTCATATGTTAACGTAATCAAATCCAAAAGACAGTTTTACAGTTTATCTCGTCGTAGAAAAACGCAATAAATCACAATGAAAATCTCTGCCAATGTCAGAATTCACACGCTGACACATTACAGCTGATTCTGGATCTTTTTTACTTTTTTAAGTTATATAGATATGCATTAGACTAAAGCTGTAATCAGGACGTTTGCCTGGCCTCCAGGCACTGCATAGCTACCTGCAACATAATCCTCCGCTCCATTGTTTGCAAAGACCGCCAACATGGCTGGGATATAGTGAGACAGAAAAATGCATTTGTACAGAAACTTAAAAATCCACCAGCATGGTGTGTGAGGAGGGAGAAAAATAAATAAATATATATACATACACATTTCCATTGGATTGTTATGGCTGAATTATTTTTGGAAAAAAAAGCAACATTTTGTTCACACAAATCCAGAGGTAAATATTCAGCTGCGTTCAAAGTTAGAGGAAAAACTAAACCTTATTTTCTCTAAATTTGAGCTCATTTTGAGAAGCTGTAGCAAGTTTGCAACAATAAATAAATAAATAAATAAAAATGCAAGATTAGAGATGCATCAAGGGATCAGCTAGAATCTCATTTTCACCTGATCGACTCAGATCGATGAGCTGCAGGACAAATACTGGAAATAAAAAAAATAAATACCGCATTTCCTTCCTCGCATGGGTCATAACTAGAAACTTCCTCCTATTTTTATCTAAAAACAGCATGCAGTACGATACACATTTTCTGGGAATTTAATAAGAAGAACACAAAATGGCTAGCAACGTACGCTTTGATGCAGAAGCTCTGATTTTCTATTTCTAGAAGCGGCTGTCTCCAACATGCAGCACATTTGGCTTTTATACGTTTTTGTTCCTGGAATTGGAGAGAAATAATACAAGTAGAGTTTGTCAAAAATGGACATCAGTGGGTCACACCCCCACATAAAGCCTAGACAAAAGACTTCCTGCCAGGAAAATGAACTAAATGGTGTATTTAAAAAATATATATATATATATATATATAAAAGGCAAATTTTTAAAAAAGAAAAAAAAAAGTGCTTTCAAATTGATTCAAATCCCCCAAATGTTTTGGGGGATTTTCTTAGATAAAAAACAAAACACAAAAAGCTGAAAATATCACACTGGCAGCTTTTTAGGCCTTTGACTGTACAGCAGCTACCTGAACTGAATGGACAAATAACAACAAAAAAGGCATTAAAGGCCATAATCGTCCTCTTATTTTCCATTTTTCCAGCCTGTCTCTGGGTAAAAATCATTAGTGTGTGGAGAGCGGAAAGCCAGAAGGAAGTCCAATGTGTTTCCCCTCCTAATAATAACCCAGGAATGTCTGCAGCAGCACATTTAGGTCCAGATAGAACCGGATGAATTAAAAGTCTGGCTCATTTCTGCAGACCGCAGTTATTAAACGGACTGATTTGTTCAGCATAATTCAGATAAAGTTATCAGCAGTGGCATCGCGCTTTATTCCCCCCCCCATCAGATCCTGTGGACTGAATCAGACTCAGCTCAGAATGGACTCGGTGTTTTAACCCATTTGGGTTCATTTTATCTGCTGTTGATAATCTGCGGGTATCATGTCAGATTACGGGCTAATTAAAAGCAGATTGAGTCAAACTGAAGCCCGGATAAAACGGCGAGGTTAGAAAAAGAAAAGAAGAAGAAGAAGTATAGGTGTTTTGTTTCCAGTGGCTCCCGGGTCACTTGTGACCAGGGGTCCGGTCTGACCCGGAGCCGCCTGGCCTCTCTTACCTTTTTGTGTCTGTCTTTGAAAGGCAACGCGGGCCACGGCATCTCCTGCAAAAAGTCCTGCCAGTGCTTCTGGTCCTGGTCGGACGACACGAAGACGACTTCTAGCTTGTCCCTGTGCTCGGACGCCTTCTTGAAGCGGCTGTAAAACTCGCACAGGCTCCCGCTGAACTGCTTGCACGGGGCGTTCAGGCTGCACCCGAAGAAGAGCCCGACCAGGGAGAGCCTCGCGCCCAGCGCCTGCACGTCCACCTCGGCTTTCTCGCCGTTCACGAGCCGCTCCCCGAGCAGACTCACCAGGAACTCCGACATCGCGGCTCGACGCGCTCCGGGAAACACGCAGCCACACGCAGGCACAGCCGAAACCCCCCTCCCGCTCCCTCTTCAGCCGAGGCTGCTGCACATGTAACCGCGGCGTGTGTTCGTGGTGGTGGGGGGTATGGGGGGTAGAAGGAAGTGGAGGAGGCGACACCCAGCACGGTCCTTTCACCTCCACGGAGAGCCGAGGGGTTTGTGAGGCGAGCTCCGAGCCCCGGAGATGAGGAGAGAGGCGTTGCGGTTGTGTGGGCTTCGCCGCGGCTCGGCTCGGCTCGTCCCTCCGCTCTGAGCGCTGTGCAGGAATGCGCTGCGCTTAAATCTCCCGGACTGCAACAGAGAGAGAGGACTCCCGTTCAGCGGGAACTCGCTCATTGGCACCAGCTGAATAAGACTTCCACTTCTCCCGTATGAGGGGTTTAATGCAGGAATACCTAAAAAAAATGAGGCGAAATTAGACTTTGTTTTGCTTTTGTTCTCAACTTTCTTATTTCAATATTTCCACTGAGGCGAGTGTTCTGTTTCGTCACAGACGCACACACATATTTGTTACAGTTAATTGGTGTATCGATCTAATAAGTTTCATTTTTTTATACCGAGTGAATTTCATCATTTTTTATGAACGCTGGAGCGACCCAGCGACTTCTGAGAGTCTGCCGCCCCCTGGCGGTCATAACAAGAAATCAACACGCGTGCGCGCCTTCTTTTTTCAGCCCGGCACTTTTGGACGCAGGCGTCAAACTCCAGTCCTGGAGGGCCACAGGTACAAAACACTGGAATGAAATGGCTTAATTACCTCCTCCCTGTGCAGATCAGTTCTCCAGAGCCTTCATGACCTATTTATTCTATTCAGGTGTGATGAAGCAGAGGCTCCTCTAAAAGCTGCAGGGCACTGGCCCTCCAGGACTGGAGTTTGACACCTGTGTGGAGAACATCCTAAAAAAAAAAAGGGCTTAAGCTGTGTTTCAGGGCCAGTCAGAGATTTCATGCACATTTTAATTTGGGGCCCATCATACCAACATGTCAACACCAAATGCTTTATTGTTCCTAAGCTAATCTATGCAACATGTCTGCTCTCATTAGTGCTGTTTGTAATCAGCTTACATCACAGCAGTGTGGTTATTGCTAATGATTTTAACCCTGCAGCGTGGTAGCAAACAAGAAAATATATTTGGATTTTGAAATGCAGAGTGATATTTAAGTGTTGCATATTATTTTAACTACTTCAAAGTAACATTAGTTGATAAAACCCTAAATTTACCGTAAACAATTTCACAGCAACAGGAGAATAGATCGACCTGTTACTTGTGCAACACTGTAAAAATAATAAAAATGGTATCCCATGTGCAATAGCATTCAGTTTGTGTTATTCAAATGTATTTGAAATATATATTTGTTTTATTTTATGCGTTGGTCTATCATATAGAAACCTCAATAAAATGCAGTGCGGTTTGTGGTTGCAACACGACAAATGAAAAAGTCTTAAGGTGGATGAATATTTGTGAAAACCCAACAGCTGATAAGTGGAAGAAATAATGCATCGCTCATTCAAGATCAAATGTTTTCTTTTATTTAAGTTCAATTGCAAAGCAATGGAAAAAATGATCACAATATAAAAATCTCTAGTTGCTTTTTGAATCAACAATTAGTGTGTATTTATAAGAAACAGATCCTTCAAAGCAATTCCACTGAACAACGAATCGGGGAGCTGCATGCGACAGACTGGTTGTTTTTGTAAGAACGCAGCTAGCAATTCAGTTGCACCAATTTATACGGAGGTCAGAAATGGGTCTGAACTCCATGCTTGAATGAAGCGACGTAATCGGTTGATTTGTGAAGAAATGTTGGACCTTTATGAGCCGAGGACCGTTCAGTCTTCAGTGAACATCATCTTTACCAGGTCTGGCTTGAAGCACTCCTCCTCCACCAGCTTCTGAGGCTGCAGCACAAAGATCACAGTAAGCTTGCAGGACTGCTCTGATGGGAGATGGCATTTTCACTTCACATTTGGATTTTCAAAACGTCTCTGTCGACTTTCGCATGCAGACTCCAGGGGCTCATTATTGTAGATTCAAACATGAAATGATTAACTACTTACTGTGCCGTATCGCAGCAGAGTGGGAACTCCAGTCAACTTCAGGGTCTTCTTGAAGTCATTGTTTGGATCCTTCCAACTAAAGTGCAGGGCAGACATTACTGCAACAAATGTCTACCTTGTCTACCTACAGTTTTCAAAACCAACAGCAATATCAGCTCTATGGCTATGAAATAAACTAAAAAAATAAAACACAATTTGGGGAAGGGATGTATTATTTACTCAATTTATTTCAAACACAAACAGCTCAGCACTGACCAAGCTGGATCTACCACAAGTCATCGACTATGAACTTGAAGAGACATTGTCTAAATGTATGAAGACAAAAATTTTAATGACATTTTTTCCAAATGAAACAACATAAAAATAAACCCTCATCAAGCAAATCTCACTGCAATTCAAATACTTCACTGACAGTTATTATGTTTGATATCTGGTGTCCTTGTGTCATACTGCAGTCAGCAATTCAGTTGGTCAATAAACATTTCACCAATATTTCTCTTAAAAATGAGAAGGAAGAAGAAACAAATATATTTTTTATTTATTTTTGACAAAACATGCATTGCGCAAATAATGCAACAATAAACTGTTACATAATCAAGTAAAAAACAAAACAAACAAAAAAACAATTTAGCAGACGAAGAAGAAACTTACTATGGTCTATCTCCAACTTGACAGTAAATGAAGACGGAGCCCTCAGGCAGATGAGTCAGCTGCCCTCTCACAACTGGCTCAGCTGGAAAAACAAAAACAAAACAAGAAATAAAAAGGTTTAATGCATAAATAAATAAATAAATAAATAAATAAATAAATAAATAAATAAATAAATAAATAAATATTTTAGAGAAACAAATTATAAAACGTAATGCTACCTTTCACACAATCTGGACACCAGCTCTTTCCCTCGGCGTCTTTGTTGCCGGAGAAATACGCGAAAATATCCTTCCCTTTCCTCCCAGACACCGCCTCACAGAACTCCTCGTATCCGCGGACGTTCACTTCTTCATAAGCGGCCATGCCGTCGACTGAGGAGACGTGAAGGTTGACCGGAGCTCTCCTGTCTGAGCTGGGACGAGCACGGGCTCAGTGCTCTGGAGTTGCGACAGCAAAAATGAGGAATCGGGAGTTGAAGTATTACTTCCGGGTCGAGCAGCGGTTCTTCAAGCGATCGCGCACGAGAGTTCGGCCATGTATGGCGGGCCGTTTCAACATAAAATCGGTTTCACTACACTTTATTTTTTGTAAACATCTAACGTTGGTTCATGACTAGATGTGTTAGTTTAATTAAGAGGTCCTCTAATTACATTTTGACTTGACAAAATATTTATTGGAGATATGTCGAATTCCATTCTAACTGGTAGAAATGACATCAAATTTACCATAAAGTCGTAGGAATATCGCTACAATAAATTGTTGACTATATGTTAAACATATATTTCAGATATCAGCAAGAAATTGTCACTAGTTATTAAGTAAGTTTTATAAATGTGCCTTTTGTTATTTCCAGTTAAAAATGTCTTAATTGTACTCTTCGTTTTTAGACATCAGGTAATCAGATTAAATTAGTCCAAATTAAATTGCAAATATCTTGAAAGCAAATAATGACAGGTGAAAACTTTTAAATATTTTATGACAAGTCAAAATTCCTTATAAAATTCTAAAAATGTCTCAAATTGAATTAGACATAGTGAAAAATGTTTTTTCTAGATGCCTCGGATATATATTAAAAAAGACACATCAAATGTCGGACAGTCGATTTTATGTTAAAACGGCCTGCCATAACATGTCGCTGGTCGCGTAGTCTTTGTTTTATTTAATTATTTTATATATACAATTGTTAATATATGGATCATACTCTTTACAAATGCTTAAGTAGCAAATACAATTTTATTTTATTTTTTTTGCTAATCAATATTGTAATTTAAAAAAAAGAAAAAAAAAAGAGCTACTTCCGCTTGTTGTCATGGCGCCGTTTCAAACTGTTGTCCAGTCTGTATGTTCTCGGTGTACGTTTTAGTTTGGTATTCTGCCCGTCGGTGCATTATTTAATTCCAGTCTCTAACAGTCGGCTATAAACGACGATAAAATGGCGGAGTCGTCAGATTTGGGGTTGACCTGAAAGTGAACGAGGCGCATTGAGAGGTTGCGTTAGCTTGCTCGTGCTAATAGGTATTAGCATTAGCTTGAAATTATTATTTACATTTGTTACCATTGTTTTTTTATGGCGACTGTCGCTGCAATGCCAGTACTGTTACCGGGACTTCAGAACCAGGAAAGAAACTGGGTTTATGTCGGCTCAGCCCGAAACGTAAACATCAACGATTCAACAACTAGGACGCCCCAAACAAAGGTAAACAAATGTTTTCAAGCTATTTAGCTCAGCTTTTGTATTCCTAATAAATAAATCATGCCATCATTACCTTTTAGAGATACTTAATTATGTAGAAGAGTATATAGTTCTATTCAATATAGTTCTCTATTGAACATATATTCAATATATATATATATATATATATATATATATATATATATATATATATATATATATATATATATATATATATATATATATATATATATCCAGGATGCATGTCAAACAGCTAAGCTAAACAGAAAATACATGTAAATTTACTTATAGCTTAACCTTCACTTTGTCTCTTGTGAAATAACAAAGCAACTTCACTTGTTTTACAGACACTGAAAGCATTTGTCAGAAATTAGTCCGACACAAAATGTATTTCTGGGATTGTCATTTCTTCGACAGCTGTTGTTTAACGAAGCCATTCCAGTGAGTGTGGTCAACCGTGCCACTCGTGTGGGCCCTCCAGCTCCCATTGTGATAGAGAGACTGCTTCCACGTCCGGAGATGCGCGAGAGTCCGGACAGCCTCCGCAGCTTCTCGGTGCTTTCCGAGGAGAGGCTGCAGGCTGCTGTCAAACTGGCCAAGCGAGACCTAAGGCGAAGGAACCTTGGGTCACTTGCAAAGACCTCACCGAAACATTTGCAGGAGGCCTCTGTCTTTGAAACAAGTGATGCGGAGCTGCTTCGGGTAAGCTACTCTTAACTAGAAAAAGAAGTTTCCCAATAGTTTTTCAAACAAAGGGTGAAATAACTATTTTCTTGTCTCTGAAGGAGCTGGCAGCGGCTCCAGGCAAGCAAGAATTTAATATACCCAGGTTAAAGGAAAAGAAGGCCCCGATCAGTGCTAAACAACGAGTATCCCAAAAAAATCCTTCTTCTTTAATGCCCGCTGTTGGCCAGTCTCCTCCAACAAGAGACCTGGGTTTAAGGCAGATGGAAGGAGGCAAACCGGGACATTTAAGCAACGAGATCCGCAAACTGCAGAATGAGCTGGAAAAGTACATTAGGAAAGTGGAGGAGCTGGCTGATCGAGGTAATTTGTTTGCTCATTCTGACCTAACAACAGTTATCGATTAACCTGTTGAGGGGTTTTTTCAGACGATTAATTCATACCGACTACCTAGATCAAAGAAAAACCAGATCAGTGCATTTTTAAAATAGACCCAGTTCGCAAAGTCACATCCACATTCAGTGATTTAAAATTTTTTTTTTTTACTCTATGTTGATCGTGATCAGGCCTTTCTGCAGGTGAAAAACTGGAGGAGTCTTTGGAACCGGAGGAGCAAATCAAGCTGGAGATAAGAAGACAGAAACAAGCTGCGCGCTCAGCACGCATCATATATGTTCTGCAGCGACAGGTATTTATGTTTTAGATAACAGGTAATGTGATAAAGTATGTTTTCTGTGCCTTCAGCTGAGAATATTGTTCTTTCAGGTTAAAGAGATACAAGATGATATTGAAAAACTCAAAAGAGAGAAAATGTGGGAGACAAAAAAGGTAGGTGGGTCTTTTTTTTCATGACGGAGTGTTAGAGCCGTGCTTGGAATGAGAATAATTGAATCATTAGGAAAAAAAAGTCGTATTACAAGAAAAAGTTACATCACAAGAAAGGAAACTAACTTTTTCCTCTAATTTTATGATGTTCATCTGGTGTTTTTATTGCTAATTTATGACTTTTGTTCTCATAATATTATCATTTTATTCTCATTATAAAAGAAAAAAAGTCTTAGCCTGGCCCTAATACTCATGAATCTACAATTATAATATTAAAAAAAAAAAATCAACACTAATTGAGTTTTTTTCCCCCTGACAAGTCCATAGTGAGCAACAATATTCACAACATTATAAAGACAACATTCACTTTATGGTTTTTTTTGGCATGTACTTTTGAACTACATAATTTTAAATAACCGAAAGTGACAAAACTTTTTATTTTTACTCGTTTGTCCCTCACAAACAAAAGTGTATAACCCACAATTCCAAGATTCCAAGATTCAGTCTGCTAAAGCAGCAGACCACACTGTGCTGCTTTAGTCGGTCTCTGTGATAAACTCGGCGACTTTTCCTCTTCCCTTTTCAGTCTGTGGCGGTCGGCAGGCTGGCGGCCGCCCACCGGGGCGCTCTCAGAGCCCTGCAGGTCATCATCCATCAGCTCTCAGATCGACCTCACAGCAAGGTGCCCCCACATTTCAAAGAGCTGGGCCAGCTGATCCGGCAGCTGTCTCTGTGCTCGGTTAAGGTGGAAGTGGACCAGGGGTCGGCTGTACCTGAGACGGCTCTGGATATTCTGCAGAAACTGGAGGTGAGGAACGAATGTTGTTGTCTTATGGTACAGCGGCTCATTATGGACTCCATAATCTCAATTAGTGTTGAAAATACTTTGAGAGACTTTTATTTTAAGATTTTCATAATTTCAACTCTCCCTGACTCCCTGCAGATTTTAGACTCAGCCCTCAGCAAACATGAGGCACTGGAGAAGCTGCAGGCCCAGACCCGTCCTCCACGCAGGACGTCTCCTCATCGCAGCACGTCCCCCGCTACCGGGCCCCATGGTCTCAGCATGCTAGCACGCCCTCACAGACCTGCAAATCCTAGAGGATCTGTTCGTGGTGGTAAACATGTTGTTTTGTTTTTGTTCTTTCACTTCAGTGCATTTTAGGATTTCTATTCATGCTCAGATTTGGAGTCATTACAGCTCCAAATCAAACTCTTATTTTCTACATATGCTCCATGTATTTTAGGTTTCTTATCTTTGTTTCTAAGCATTTTTTTTTTTTGCTCTTACAGTCAATCTGATACAAATCACCTGTTGTCCCCCTTCTGTTTCTGGAAGCCACCATACAGATTTTTTAGTATTATTTTTTGTTTGTGTGTGTGATTGTGTTTGGCCTCCCTCTGCGGTTAAGTGGTTGCACCCAGCTTGAAAATTGACGTGGAGCCTCGATTTAGAGATAGAAAACAGCAACTGAAATGCAGAGCGGTGGCCTTTGCCCCCCCTGCTGCTCAGCTTTATGAGCAGTTAACTCCCGCTGGCTTTTATTGAGCTGAAAACTATCCTCTGCAAGAGATGACATAAACGCCCACAATGAGCTTTATCTGCAACTCCTGCAGTCGTCAAAATCTTACTGTAATAAATTAAATCATTTAATACTGAACCGACTTGTTTGTATCCCCAACGTGTGACACTGGAAAAGTTTGAAAACTTACCTTGAAAATGCTTGAAAAGTTCTTGAATTTTAATGTTTTTGTTTCTGCTTTTGTTGTGTCTGTTCAAATGTGAACAAATCAAAGTTTCTGCTCTCCATTTGTGCCCGCAGGGAGAAAAGTTGTGTTACAAAAGCTGAAACCGGTCTCCCTCCAGCCTCTGGTGGCTGGTGTGCACAACGTTGGCCAGCAGAGGGAGCTGCAGAGACTTCCTCAGCCAAACACGAACCAACAGAGCAGGCGGCACCCGGGGAAGAGAAAAGCTGATGTAATGAAGGTACTTGATGTATTTATTGGGCCAGTAATTTACATTCAAAGCATTTGTCTTTGTGAATATGTCACGATCAATATTTATTGATTTTTTGAAAATGCGTCTCATCCCGACCAGATTAGAGACGCTGGTTTCCGGCAGCCGACAGTTTCCTCGCAGCTCCGAGTCAGTCAGCTGCCTCAGCGGGAGAAGTCTGTTCCCTGGATCCCAACGTCGCCCCGCTCTCCTCCTCAGCAGCAGTAAATCTTTATGAAAGTTATAAACAATAATAATTGTAAAAAAAGAACTGTAACTC